GTCAAAGAATTTAAATAATACTTGTATTCCTCAAACTCATCAAACCTGACGTCTGCACAAACACAGAGATCTCAGCACTGGAAGCTGTGGAGAGAGAATGATTTGATTTATTTATTTAGACCTGTTTTACACGTCTTACTCCTGTACCATATATAAAGCATTTACAAACTGACAAACCTAAAGTAGAAAAACAGACATTTTTGACAACATTGTATTGTAGAGATAAGTAATTCAGTTAATTTTAGAAATGTAACTAAAATGTAAGAAGTTTATTACTTGTGTTAGAGATGAAGAGAAGGACAAAGGATGCAAGTAGATAATTTACAGCCATTGTACTGAAAAGTGAAACTGAAATTTAAAACGGAATGTAACTCCGCCCACCAACGTGTGTTTGGCCAAAGCCACTAGAAGGCAAGCCTGCAACCTTTACCCAAAAAACTTCAGCTTCCAGTTTGCCAGTACGTGGGAAAGGAGACCAGAGGCCGTTTTTTTAATGGATGTCAATGGAGGAGAGGCTTCATTACGCTGAATAAAAAGCGAGGTGTGCTCTGATTGGCCAGCTATCCAGTGCGTTGTGATTGGCTGAATACCTCAAGCGTGTGACGGAAATGTTACGCCCCTCACCATACTGTGATGCCGTGTCCCAGCCGGAGCGACAAGACAAAAATATTAAACGAGGCATTTGTTGCATCCAGTGGGGACATAATTACGGATTATAATGACTTATACTGTCTTTTTACACGTTGCGTTGCATCGCGCTGCGTAAACATAAAACCATGTCTGCATTTGTGATTGGAGAAATTACAAACAACAAGCACTACTCTACACTGCTCAAAACTCATGTTTGAATCATCAGTGGCAAATTCTTTAAATATAAAAAATGTACTTACAGCAAAAGGTTACATTTTAGTCACATAACATTGGTTAATGGAAATGCCGTCATAATACTTTTTTAATCGACATTTATAAAATATCGCCAAAGTTTTGCGCAAATCTGTAATGGAAACGCGCCTACAGAGATGCCGATTCGCACGGGACTAATATTATCACAGGACCTCGGTGTTCGGCAAAATATGGTAGGTCATTTGCAGGGGAATTTTTACTTAAATTACAGACATGGCCGATTCGCACGGGATTAGGATCACAGACAACCTCCACAATTATTACAAATGACTGGAGGTCACCTGGGGTGTATTCCAGAAAGCACGGTTAACTTGCCGTCAACTAAACCCTGAACTTTCGGTTGATTAACCCCAAACCTTGCTTACTCGAGGTATGTGGTTCCAAAAACGCGTCCGGGATTAAGTTCATTCAACTCAGAGTATGTTCCTGGTTAAAACTCAAGACATTCTCAACAGAGCGATGAATCGACGAGTCACTATGGAAACGGACGATAAGAAAAAGCGTGCCATGCTGTTTCTTTCTTCTTCTTTTGTTCAATGGTCGTTTACATGCTTAGTGCATATCGTTGTTTGATGCTAATTATACATTAAGTCATATCAGATCTGTATTTTGATTTAGAATTTAGACATATATAGATATAGAAAATGCCGATCCATGTGTGAGATGAAAATGTAATAAATAAGTATATATAATAAATTAAACATTACCTTGTAGTGTTTTATAGGCTATATTACATATTGTAAAATTATATAATGTCGTGCGCTATCTGTCACGCCCACTGAAGGCTCGTCAGTAGATCACACGTGCGCTGATAGAGCTGAAGTAAACTAACCCTGGAACATAACCTGCTCCAGAGCAGGTTATCTTCAGAGAGCAAGTTACTATGGTTACTTACATACCCTGAAAGTAACCTCTGATTTTGGAACCGAAAGCTAAGGTTATCCGCTCGCTTATCTTCAAACATACCCGGATATGTCACATAACGTACTCGGTTACTAACGTAACCTCGGTTCCCTGAGATACGGGAACGAGTACTGCGTCGCTAGACACTGCGGGAAACTCCTCTTCTCCGATTTACTGAAGCCTTTTTTTTTTAATCACAGCAGTTTCAGAAATGAACCAATGACGGAGCAGCGGAGCTGCGCGAGCCTATGGCGAAGCAGCGCACCCGAGCCCGCCAAAATGGGCGGGGCATCTGGCTATATAAGCAGGTGCTCGGCATAGGATCACTGATTCATATCGACTGAAGCGACGACAGAGTCGTGCAGCATCATAGCACGGTTAGCTACGCAGTACTCGTTCCCGTATCCCAGGGAACCGAGGTTACGTTAGTAATCGAGTACGTTCCCTTTCGATACTTCACTCGTACTGCGTCGCTAGATGCTGCGGGAACCTATTCAATCACACCGTGCTATGGTAGATGAACGACTTATATGTAATTGTCCAGGGCGTCCAGAAGGGGGCCCTGTAGATCAACTACAATGAAGCAGGCCATAGCCAGAGACCCGGATTCTTTTCAGGGTCAAGAAGAGGCAAAGAAATGGGCTAACTCATAAGGGTCGAGCCCGGCCTTACATAATCGTTCTTAGAGCTTCGCACAGCCTCGGAGCTAGATAGGGCCGAGAGCGTGCCGGAAGCTAAGCCCAGACATGGGAACTTCAGCGGGTTCGAAACATAGTCAAACCCAGCAAGGATTAAATCCAGCCTTAGGGCGGGGATATGGTTCCTGGAGCATTTGAGCTCAGAGAGACAGTTAAGCAGAAAGGACCTGAGTCTGCAAAGCAGGGACGTCCAGGTTGTAGAACCTGACAAAGGTGGACGGCGAGGACCAGCCGGCCGCCGCACAAATTTCTGCAATGGACACACCACTGGACCATGCCCAGGATGAGGCCATGCCTCTCGTGGAATGTGCTCTGACCCCTATGGGGCATTGAAGGCCCAAGGAGTATGCAAGAGCTATTGTGTCAGCTATCCAACGGGATAGTCTTTGCTTTGTGACCGGAAGCCCCTTGGTGCAGCTACCAAAGCATACAAAGAGCTGCTCCGACTGCCTAAAGGAGGCGGAGCGGTCAATGTAGATTTTTAATGCCCTGACAGGATTTATTTTTTTTTAATAATTACAGTCTTGCTCGCGAGAACTCCGGTCTGACGCACGCGGGTTCTCGTGTTATTTCCTTATCACTTCTCGCGTGTTTTGTTGTGAAACGTAGTTTGCGGACCAGACAGAGCTGTCGGCGATTCTTCCTATTGTGAAGTCATGCAGTGCAGTGTGAAAACAACGGCGATCCGACGAGTTTTAAAATCGTGCAGTGTCAACTCGGCATTAGCTTCAGTTTTTAGCAGTGGTTAATGCATTCGGTATCGTGAACTAACAATGAACAAGAATTTTAACAGCTTTTATCAAAGCAGTTATTATTTGTTATTAGCATGTTATTAAGTAGTTAATTTTTTTATATTGTGTAATTATATTGTTCATAATAAATTAACTAATTTATATAACTTTAAACAAAAAAATTCTTAGTATATGTGCAAATGAACTAAAATAAGAAATTGATTAATAAATGTTCAATAATAAAAGTTCATAATACTTAAATTAGTAAACTTTATTGTAAAGTGTTACTGGCAAAAATGGTTTGCGTTAAAAAAAGTAAGCCTTTTTTGCTTCAGTTTAAGAAAATTAAGCATATACACCTAACAGATTTCTGTAACATATTGTAATGCAAAAAAAATCATTATTTTAATCATTTCAATTATTCAACAAAATACAAACCATGGTAGTAGTGCTATTTGACTAAATTTAAGTAGTTCATGGACAGGATGTTTTTTTGTGTTTTTTTCTGCAATGTGGTGATAATTTTACGTGGCCATGTGTAAAACAACATCAGGTTATCAGACTTCTGAGTTGCACTTAATATGTTAATGTGCGGATTCAGCTGCAGAAAACAAATTCCATAAAGCAGGCACAATTTGTTTATTAACTGAAAACACAAATATGTAAACATGAAGACAAATGTAAACACTGCATATTAGTTAGACACAAAACATTTCTTTCCCTCTCTGTATGCTTCCCTGACAATATGTGCATTTTAATTGCGATTATGATCTGCTTCATTCAGTGCTTTCCCAGAGAGAGCACAGACAGGAAAGAATGACAGAATGACACCACAGCATGAATTGAGTTTGCTCAAAGCATGTATGAACACTTACAGAGCTCATCCAGTTTTCACAGAAATATAAAATGTCAACAGAGTAACTTGATGTTAATATGTTAATGACATGATGTATCAAACCAAACAACAGTCCATAAATATTTTACAGTGCTCTGGAGGTTCATTTGTCTGAAATTTGGTGCAAATGTGCTGCACCAGTCAGTGTTTGAGTCACATCCTAAATACCAACTCATCTACAAAACTGTAAAAAAGTAGTCAGCAGAAATCATCCCTTTTTGTCAAATAACAAA